ACAAAACATTTAGTTGCCTTTCTGCATAGATAATCCAACAGTGGTTGAACTTTAAAACTTTCCATGTGGCTAGGCTGCGTTGAAGAAAAAAGAAAAAAAAGTAAAAGATGAATGGTGTCGTCATTGTGCAGGACTCATCTTACTAACGTTGTTTGATTTTACTTAGATGTGAGGCAGCGTGATGGAACACATCCGCATATTCACAATCTGCATACTATTGTAACTATCTTTTTACAGTTTATGCCATGTGAAATGTCTTGCTGAGTTGTAATACCATGGTAAAGTGCTTGTTACAACCTTATATGTAAAATTATGGATGTAAGCTGAAATCATGACTGAGGTCTATTTCCCACCTAATTCTGAAGAATTAAACCAATTTCTCAAAGACAAAGGGCATATTGGCCTTATTTTTGCAAGACTTTTTCAGTTTATAATTATTTTACTCTTCCTCTTTCTGTAAAGCCTGTATGTAAGATATGCTTATGTTACACGAATGTATCCCTTTTAATAATATAAAACACTCTCAGGCAAACCCAATTATCAACAGAGTTTGTAAAAAAATCCATGAACCTTGATATCTTTTTTTATAGTTATCATGTACTGTAACACAACCTGCTTCAGGTAATTACCATAAATTATAGCGGTTGCCATTAGTGACTGTTATAATTAAGGTTGCAAATCAGTTTCCATTATAATCCCTTGTTTTCACACAATCATAACTTGTCAAAACATTAACCTGTGGGACTGAAGTTTTCTATGCTTACTGTTGGCTTGAAAGAATATATTTTGGGGAGCAAAGTTTGAACGGTCATGCAGGAAACTCATTGTGTTGGGGTGGATTACAGAGGTGCCCTTGGGGTTGTAACCTGGATGCTGATCAAGCCACTGAGACTGTCTTCTTGCCTTCTGGAGCGCCTCACCACCCTGTCCTATTAGGCCAGAAGCTCTGGTCTCCCCTAGTCAAGGCGCACAGAGTTGGAGTTGCTGTCCCCCTGCAGAACAACACAGACACTGAACCAGCTCAGTTCTGGGAGGGTTCAGCCAGAAGGCCATTGGCAGCATCCAGGAAAGTAACCCCTGAAAGAAACCAAACCCCCAAATAAATCTGACTTACTCTGAGTAAAAGTTTTAGACAGAGAAAGCTCATAAGATCAGCTCTCTTTATCAGTGAAAGAGAGAAAGGGACAGTGGTTGCTTCCCCCACCCCACCCTCCAGTAGCAATTATTTACACTGAGCTTGGTAATAAACCAAAGTGTTTTTATTAAGTATAAAAAGTAGGATTTCAGTAATTGCAAATAAAAATAAACAGATCAAAGTAAATTATTAAGTTAAAATAAACAAAACATATCAGCTAAGCCTAAGAAGCTATGCTAAGAAGTTGTTACATGCAAATTCTTACTCTAAACAGTTGTTCTAATCATCTCTTTCCCAAACTAAGCAGCCTCCTACCTTGGCCCCGATCTTTTTCTCTGTTCAGTCTTAGATGTTTCCAGCAGTCATCTTAGGTGGTAAGTCGGGGAGGGGTGTGTGTCATGGTATCTGATGATTCCCCTATTGCTTTGTTCCCCTTTATATCTCTTTTGCCCATGGTGGGAATTCTTTGTGTTCAATTCAATTTTTTCTCGCCTTGAGTGGAAATGTACCAAGTCCAAAATAGTTTTCAGCATCAGGTGGCCTGGCCACATGAAGAAGCTATGCTAAGAAGTTGTTACATGCAAATTCTTACTCTAAACAGTTGTTCTAATCATCTCTTTCCCAAACTAAGCAGCCTCCTACCTTGGCCCCGATCTTTTTCTCTGTTCAGTCTTAGATGTTTCCAGCAGTCATCTTAGGTGGTAAGTCGGGGAGGGGTGTGTGTCATGGTATCTGATGATTCCCCTATTGCTTTGTTCCCCTTTATATCTCTTTTGCCCATGGTGGGAATTCTTTGTGTTCAATTCAATTTTTTCTCGCCTTGAGTGGAAATGTACCAAGTCCAAAATAGTTTTCAGCATCAGGTGGCCTGGCCACATGTCTTTGTAGGACAACCACAGTTTGGGCTTATAGGAAAAACAAAACCAATCACAGGTTGTTGACTTGATCACCAAGCCATTAAGTTCCTAAAATATCACTTATGGTTTTACTAGAAAACGTGGACTAATTAAAGAGATTCCGGTTTAATATTTGTAACCTCACATACAAGAAAGATACATGCACAAGGGAGGGGTGTGTGTCATGGTATCTGATGATTCCCCTATTGCTTTGTTCCCCCACTTCACTGAGCTTGGTAATAAACCAAAGTGTTTTTATTAAGTACCTGAGCTTGGTAATAAACAAAAGTTTTTATTAAGTATGAAAAAGTAGGAGGTAAGTGATTACAAGTGAAAAAACAGATCAAAGTTACTAAGCAAAAACAAAACAAAACAAAACATGCCAGCTAAACCTAATACACAAAGAGAAGTTATTACAAATAGTTCCCACTCTAGTTCTTATTTCATGTTCAGTTTTTCACAAGCCAGAATTGATCTTTTTCTCTGACCTGAATTCAGCAGTGCTCCTTCACTCCTCTTGTTATGGTTCAGAATATACAGATTCAGAGGATTACAACTTCTAAAGTGACATGTTACCTGACTTATTTTACATAAAGCATCTTTGAGTTACGCATATTCATATTCATAAGCCAATTTTCATAAAGCCTGACCCCCATTACACTCATTTCCAGTCTTTTTGAGTCATGAGAGCTGTTTGAAAAGCATGTCTGACTCTGGTCTCCTTAGAGACCATATATCCTAGAAAAATGAGCATAGGCCCTGCAGCCCAGACCTCTTTTTGTGTTTCATGCCCACTTCTGACATGGCTGCTGCTTCTTATTGAGGATAGTTTAACTGTCAGTGGGAGAGCTATCACACGGAGAGGCTATATGGCAGATCTTACAGCAGTGCAGCTTCATTGGTATGGCTGTTTGGCTGCAAACTCACTACTGTAGATATAGTCCGAATCATTTTTCATGAGAGCCTCTCCCCATAAAGTAGGCCAAAATGAATTACGTCTGTTTTACTCGTGAGGAACGTAGATGATGTATGTCGAGAGTGTGGGGGCATATGTTAGTCTAGGGTAGGGGCAGCCAACCCGTTACAGACGAAGAGCCAAAATAGTGGTGGATGCAGTGCAAAGAGCCAAGGGAAAGAAGTTGCTGAGAAAAAAAACAAAACAAAACACTGCCCCTTTAAGAGCCGCATGTGGCCCAAGCAGGCTTCCGCCAGCCACAACGTCAGAGCTCGCTTTGTCAAGTGGCATCCTGCCCAGACAAGGGAAAAAGGTCAAAGCAGGGGACCGTGAGAAGAGCCGTGGGTGCAGGAGTTGCAATTTTTCCTTTGAAGAGCCGCATGCAGCTCACGAGCCACAGGTTGGCCACCCCTGGTCTAGCAACTTGATCATTGGCCTGTGCATCAGGTAACCTGGATTCTAATGCTGAATCTGACCCTGACTTTCAGATTGACTTTGGGCAAGATGCTTCACTAGTCTGTTCCTCTGTTTCCCATTTGTAAAACTGGGGAAATATTTACCTGCCTTTTAGAGCTCTGTTAAAACTTAACTTACACATCAAGCCAGGCCTGATGGCTACAGTAACACAATGTGCACTAGTTGCTGTTCAGTTTAGTCATTTACCTGTATTTACCACACAGTGGTGTCTAAAATTCTATAGTAACTCAGCCAAGAGAGAAAAGGAAGTTTCTCTTGTATTACAGATCTTATTGTGGTCTTTCCCTCAAACTGTGGGTAAACATTGACTTTTAAAAGATGGTCACTGCAGGGAAGGCTGTATAATAAATTCTAGTTTATATTATATTTTGTAGTAATTGGCATACTGTTCTGCAGTAAAGGGAGATCAAACATAAGTCCAAAGAAGTGAGTAGGCAGGTGGGATTAAGAATAAGCTATCAACCTTAAATGCTTATTTCCCTGCTAACATTACATTAACACTTGTTCTTTTGCATACAATTATTTTTAAGAAAAGGTGATTCGTTTTTTCATACAAACTTCTGGGAGAATGTTTTAATTAGTGTCATCAGATATATGATGATAAACTGAGGTATACTTACTATGAAAAATTACAGTTTTAGAAATAGTTCTTCACTTTTCTATACGCAGACTGTCTATATGCAAGGTAGTGTAGATTGTACAGGTATGAGTTGTAAGCCAGTTTGTTTTCAAAACATAAAATAGCATAGATTCTATAAAGCAAGGGCAGGCAACTTTTTTTGAGCTGTGGGCCGCTAACCCACAGAAAAATCAGTCAGGGGCTGCACACAAGTGAGAAGCAAGAAAAAAACCCAAACCTTCACTTACGTGGCCCCCAACTGAGGAGAAAGTACTCTCCCCTCATTCCCCTTGCACATCAGAGCTGGGGGGGGGGGCCTAGTAGATTTTGTGCGCTCCGACCCTGTGATCGGGTAGCAGGGGGGCTGGAATATCAGTGCAGGCTGCCCAATGCTAGGGGGACCCTGAGCTTCGGGAGCCTGATCCAGGTAAGCTGGGGGCTGCATCCAACCCCCAGGCCTGAGGTTCCCCACCCCTGCTATTGCTTCCAGGAGAACTGATGCATGCGCAGAGTCCACTGACTGTAGTGGGTGTTTATGCAAATGGGAGGGTCCCCACTTATGGCCTCTGACTTGAAATGTTACAATTCTTCAAAGTCCTGTGATTTTTCTGGCAAAATGTGGTATTTACAAAATCAATTGCCCTTCTCATAACTGGATTTTGAGTGTAACAATGCTGTGTGCCTGATCCATGGCCCAATAAACCCCCAAGCAGTCATTCCATTCAAACAGGTTTTACTTCAGATTCTAGATCTCTGAGCTATCCCAGGTGGTTTGAAGGGCGGGGGAAGGAAGCCTTTATGCAAACTGTTACAAACAAAACATGAATATATGTGTGTAAAATGATTTGACATTATTTCCAAAACTACTGGTTGTAAGAAAATTTCTGATCTTTGTCCCTCTCTTTTGGGCTTTTCCAGTGGCAGATGAAAGCCAGGTTAGCTCATTGGCTGGACACAAACAAGGTAAGAACTTTCTTGTATCTTACTTGACCTGCCCTTTGCTCAACAAGTAGCCAGTGTGTGAGCAACAGCTGGAACTAGCTTATAGCAACTGTGGTGGCATAAAAGTTTGCAAATTAATTCATAGCTTCACTTCCACAGTGATAAATTAGGGCTTGCTTATTGCTTGGCAGTGTATATAGCTGCATGAATAGGCTGGGATCATTTTCAGAAAAAGCAATAATGGTTTCTTTAAAATATATATCTATTGAAAAGCGAGCAGAATGTGAGTTAAAATAAGCAAAAGACAAAACCTGTTGCCTTTTCTTGAACCAATGTAAGCACTTAAACATTGTAATTTATGAACAATATAAATGTCTCATTTTCTTTGTCTCCTGGAAGACTTTCAGTTTTCCACTCTCACAGTCCAAAATATTAAAGATAAACAGCCCTGTTAAAGCCTTCACTATTGGCGTTTCACTCCTATTTATTCACCTTTTGGTCTGACTGTACTACCAGAAAGACCTACTTTTTCTTAAACTGCTTAAGATCTGTGTTTCTTAGCAATGAAAGTTTATGTTCAACAGTATTACCATAAAGTCCTGTATGCATTGTAATAACAATTCTGTTAAACAAGTTGCAATACTATACAAAATGTAGTTGCCTTATTACAATAACAAACCTTGTGGATAGGGGACTTAGTGGTGGTTTATCTTGACTTTAGTAAGGGCTTTGGCACAGTCTTACATGGCCTTCTCATAAACAAACTAGGGAAATACAACCTATTTGGAGCTACTATAATGTGGGTGTATAACTGGTTGAAAAACATTCATGAAGAGTCCCCAGTTCTGTGGTTCACAATCAAACGAAGAGTATATCAAGTAGGTTCCTATAGAGATCATTTTTGGGTTCAGTTTTGTTCAGTATCTTCTTTGGTGATTTAAATAACTGCATAGAGAGCACACTTCTAAAGTTTGTAGATGATACCATGCTAGGAGTGGTTGCAAGTGCTGGATAGCATTAAAATGCTAAATGAGCTGGACAAACTGGAGAAATGTCTGAAGTAAATAAGATGGACTTAAATGAGGACAAAAGCAAACTACCCTTAGGGAGAAACAATCAGCTGCAGTCATACAAAATGGATAAGGGGACAAGAAGGAAGCAGTAGATGCGGTATACCTACACTTTAGTAAAGCATTTGATACTGTCCCCATGACCTTATAGATAAAGTAGGGAAATGCAACTTAGATGGGGCTATTAAAAAGTGGGTGCACAACTGGTTGGATAACCATTCTCAGAGAGTAGTTATCAGTGGTTCACAGTCATGCTGGAAGGGCATAACAAGGGAGGTTCTTCGAGTGCTTGCTCATGTCCATTCCATGTAGGTGTCTGCGGGCCGCATTCACAGATTGTCAGAGAGTTGTCCCCTAGCAGTACCAGTTGGGCCAGCAGAGGGGCGCCCCCTGGAGTGGCGCCACTATAGTGGTGCATAAATAACTCTGCTGGCCCTCCATCTCCTCAGTTCCTTCTTACCACCTGTGATGGTTGTTGGAGCCCTTATCTCGCTTGCAAGCATGGTTCCAGCGGTACCAGTTAGTTAGCACCTAGTTGAGTCCCATTGTTCTCCAAGTTGCTTTCCGTGTTAGTTTAAGTCATTGTTTTATCTTTATAGCTAGTTACTGTAAGTGTTGGGTTGGGGTTTGCCCATTGCATGCCAGGACCTCATGACTTAAAGCCCTGTGCAGACTGGGCTAAGCCTATGCCCCATCGGGACCCACATAATTCAGGCGTAAAGTGTCTGGGTGAAGCTCACATCCCAGCAAATTGCAAGATTTGGCATAGTTTTAAGTCCCGGACCCAGTGCGAGAGACTCACGCCTGAAAATACTCCTGATGGAGTCAGTGCTCTGACCAGCACCGGCTGTGGATGCAGCACCAGAATCCCGCAGCACACTGGCCTCGGTGCGGGAGGCACCAGGTTCCTCCGGGGCCTCTGGTACCGGCTGTGTCCGCGGCACCAGTGGTGATGCGCTCGCAGGAATTGAGAGAGCACTCATCTTCCAGCACCCCTATCCTGATGGCACAACCTGCAGCACCAGAGTACTTGATGCCTCTGGCACTGGGGCAAGCTGGTGACAATGGTCTGTCACTCCTCCCAGCACCGCTCACCGGGCCCATCTTTGGCACCGCCGTGAATTTCACCCCCAGAATCTCCTGGCACCAGCACCTTCCCTTAGCCCTGCACCCTCCTGGTCTCCCCCTCTTCCCTCACTGCCCCTGTGCCCTTTGCCCTCTTTTTCCCTGATGCCCACCCCCTCACCACCCTCTGCCCCCTTTCTCCTCATGCCCCTGTCCCTGCCTTCCTCATGCCCACCCCTTCTTTCAAGCCTTCTCCCAGCACCTCCCCCTCCCCTGGCTCTCCTGCGCTCACGGTGTCACCATTGAAAAATGACGAGCCTGCTTTCAGAAGAAAGATCTCTGCAACTTTGAGCAGGCTGGGTGGAGTGGAGGAGCCGCGGCTCCCGGCTCTAGACGGCTGGCTTGGAACCGCGTGTCTGTGGGGGGAAAGGAGCTCGCGCGCACGCAGGAGAGAACGAGCCAGACCCAGCACTTGGCAGGAGGCAGTTGTAGTGGCTCTTTGGACTCTGACATGGAGTTGGTGCGGTCCTGGGCTTCGGCCTTATGCTTCCAGTCCTGGCACCACTCCAGATCTTAAGATCATTTTTGCTCCCAGTACCACTCATGCCACCGCAGCGCTTCAGGCCAATAGGTGCAGCAGAACTGGTCAGCTCAGTGGCAACACTCAGATCAGTGGCCTTTCTGGACCCATGGGTCTACCATCAGGCATAAGGGAGTGCCCCATCCATGGTGGGCTCCTCGCACTCGGGGCCAGCAGTCCTGCCCTTGGCCACACTGCTTCCCCGATCACTGGCACCAGACCAGGTGACATCAACCTGGAAAGATTTCCCTAGGCCCTCATTGGAAGAGACCAGGGATCAGGACCCTCTGAGCCACCCCTCTCCATTCCAGGCCTAGGAGCGACCTCAAGAGCATGAGAAGTCGACGGTACACAAGTATTCATTGTCCTCCCCAGATGAGGCCCTGGAGTTGGCTTCTCCATTGATGTCAAGAATGGATTCTCGGGTTCACCAGGACCTTCTCAAGAGGCTGGCACAGAGTCTAGGGGTGCATCTCGAGTGGGCATCGGAGGATTGCAACCTGATGGTGGACATCCTCAACTTGGAGGCCCTATCTTGTTTGGCCCTACCCTTGAACAACGTGGTAGGCAAAATTACAAACACTCTCTGGCAGACGCCTGCCTCTATACCACCTATGGGTAAGAGAGATGAATGGAGGTACATCAGGTGCACACCTACATGGAATGGACATGAGCAATATATCTTGAAAAACAACAGTTACAAAAGGTAAGTAACCTTTTTTTTTTCCAAAGGAATCAGTTTTGGAACCAGTTCTGTTCAATATCTTCGTTAATGATTTAGATAATGGCATAGAGAGTACTCTTATAAAGTTCTGGACACCACATTTCAGGAAAGATGTTGAGAAATTGGAGAAGGTCTGAGAAGAGCAAAACAAATAGTTAAAGGTCTAGAAAATATGACCTATGAGGGAGATTGAAAACATGGGGTTTGTTTAGTCTGGAGAAGACTGGGAAGCGGGGGGAAGATCACTGTTTTTAAGTACATGATGGTTTGTTACAAGGAGGAGTGTGAAAATGCGTTCTCTTTAACTTCTGAGGATAGAACAGGAAGCAATGGGCTTATATTGCAGCAAGGGAAGTTTAAGTTTCACGTTAGGAAAAACGTCCTGTGAGGGTGGTTAAGCACTGGAATACAGGCTAGGGAGGCTATGCATCCTCAGTCCATGAAAAACCGTATAAGGGCAGGGTAAACAAACAGCTATTAGGGATGGCCTACATAAGACTTAATCTTGGCCTGAGTGCAAGCAATTGGACTAGAAGGCCTCTCAAGGTTAACTCAGATTATTTAGTGATGAACTTTTACCTGTGGTAGGTAAACATGAAATTCAGTGCTTTTCCTTATTACGTATTTTGATGCTGTGTTTTCCATCAGTTTGTTAGATCTCAAACAATTTCACCTTTCTATTTAATTCAACGAAGTGTAACTTTTCATAAGGTTGTTGTTTTCCCAGTACAAGTGTATATCTACTCACTTTTTTGGCCATTAGAGCAGTGGGAGGCAGGTGTGGGTGTACGAAATAAAGAATTTGTGTGTGTGTGTGTGTGTGTGTGTGTGTGTGTGTGTGTGTTTCATGCCCACAACCCCCACTGCATAAATGTATATGCTGCATAAAATTCTTTCAGCATCTAACCCTGAGAAAAACAGTAAATGAAAATTCAAGGCTCTGGGGAAAATGCTTTTTATGAAATGTCGATCACACACCAGCATTTGCTCTGATTATGAGGTACTTATGAAGTTGTGAGCCTCATTTTGTCACTTTCTGTCTCTATCTGATCTGGCACAAGAAATGTATCAGAACTATTCCAACAGAATATCTGAGTTTCATATCTTCTCAAATGTATGGGGACCTCCAACTTCGCTCTCTGATGGTTACCCTCTCTGTTTAATTCTTCTGTTTTTCTCATGACATGCCTTTCTCTCTGAGACGTCCATTGATTTCTGGTCTTGATTCAGTGCTCAGAGTTACTGCACAGCTTTCCTTGCATACACTTTTGTCTAAAAAAACTGTATTTAAAGACCAGTTAAGATCATTTAAAGATCAGTTTATGGTGTACCTGCCCTATACAGCTTTGTATAGCTGCTGTAGCTTTGTTACTACACAGCTCCCTGATTTAGGAATTTCATACTTGAAGATCCTTTCCTTAGTTTAGGGTAAAAGATCTCCCTTTAAATTCTTCCTCTGGTTTCCTTCTCTAGTCTGTGTATCACAAATATTCTTTCTCTGTAACTTGAGAATCAACTCGTATGTCCCATTCCTGCAGATGGGAAGGAACATTTTGTTACCCCTGACTCTCCTTTGAGTATG